CACTAAATGATACATCATCCCTAACCAAATAAGCAAATAAGCATTTTCAATTCAATTACATGGAATGTCATTTGAAGTGTGCCTACAGCTTATATTTTAGCTAAGGCATACAGACATCTTTAAAAAAGAATCCTAAATTTAAAAAAGTGATCAAATTCTTAAAGTTGGACACAAACATACAGTATTTTGGAACCACATAGACTTCAGTTAAGTAAACCATATATCCATTCTTACAAAATACATAGTAAACTTTGCTAAGTTTTGTTGAGCTCCTTCAATTTTTTACTGTGTTTTCATATATTAAAGAAAACACTTTAAATACTAGTGATTTCTCAAATATATTCTGAAACTTACTGTTCAATACATTATAAACTGGGGGGGGGGTGATCATCAGTCTTTAATTGAGGTGTAAAAACTGCCTCATAAATTCATAAGTGGTGAAGGCAACAGCTTGAGAAGGAATACAACGGATGTAATTCAATGATAATCCACGGTACAATCCCCTTCGTATTCCGTGGTTTCCATAAACATATTTCAATGTTTGAGTCATTGTACTAGAAAGAGAACAGAATAAGTCTTTGTAAAACAATAGATTTTCCAACACTTTACTTCAAATAACATTTAAAAAGCAGGAACTTTTGCAGTACCCAACAGAGGTCCCGCCATTTCTTAATCAGATTACGGGCAGAGGCCATTTTATTATACAGAAGTCATGCTACGTTATTGCTAATGAGACTTAATTATTTTGCAAGATTTTTCTTTACATATAAAGAAAATACAACCTGATATCAAGATTTTTGATTCTTTTATCTGAAAATCCAAATTCCACACTAATGAATATGAAGCTCAGTTCACAAGAAATTAAGTTCCACTGTAATTAATAAAAGTTTTGCATGCATGTTAGGTTTATGTTCTCATTGTTTTTACTGTTTTATTACTTGTTCAACTGAGATTGTGTAATCACTGACCATTAAAATATTCTTCTCCTAATAAACCATTTGAGGCAATTAGCCTACAATTAGGCTGCCCATCGAACAGGTAAATTTTAACTCTACATAAAATATGAAATTAGGGCTGCCTAGTATTAATATGCAGTGTGGTTTGCTGACATTTGTGTGACCACATACTGAAATAATATCCCTTTATCTGGGATAAATAGCCTGATGGCGGTGAGTTCCAATGGTCACAGCCTCATCTGCTTTTTCCTTGATTTTTTTTTTCCTTTTTAAGAAGCTGGCTTGCTGCCAAGCACAGCATCTGCCTGTTTCTACTTTGAGTTCATATTTATTTGCACCCATGCTTTTAGGCTCAGAACAAACCCATAGGGTCAACAGAGATTTGGGGGAGAAGGAGGTGCGGCTTAACTTCTGATAGAAAGGACTATTGTGGTTGACAATGTTATTGTGACAGTCACTTTATGCGTGTATACACCACACAATCTCAACATTCCTAATCTAAATTCCCTCCAAAGATAGCTGATGCCAGTGCCAGCTTAATATTGTAACTTCTGTCCGATGAAATCCACTACCTGTATATCAAAAATAACAACTAAAAGAAGGAACCTGACCTACTAGACCGGGTGTCAGCAACTTGTGGCTCCAGAGCCGCATGCAGCTCTTTGGACCCTCTGCTGTGGCTCCCTGTCCCATCACTGGCCTTAGAAGGTAATTGTGATGGCGGGGGATGGAGAAGTAGCTGGGGCTGATTCTCCAGCACCTCACTCTTGCTGCTTGTTGGTGCTGGTGTATCTTCCGGCCCTTGTTGGTGCTGGGCGTGCCTCGCAACCAATGCTGTCCTCGCTAATACGAGGGCTGGTGGCATGAGAATGAGATCCGGGAGGATGGGATGTCAGAAATTGTGACGGGCCCACAGTACCCAGCCACGGCTTTAAGAAGCTCAGGGCAGCAGGAAAAGGGGGCTGGCCCCGCCAAACCTCACACCCCCACCCTGGTGGTCAGGCTAGGAGAAGCGCTCGCCTGTCAGCCTGTCTTCCCCATGACTCTGTGTGTGTGTGTGTGTGTGTGTGTGTGTGTGTGTGTGTGTGCAAGCTCTCTTTGGGGCTCTTGGTTATTCCTTTTATTTTTTCTTTCTGGAAATCTGGGCTGGCTGAAGAACGATCACCAGCCATGGCAGAAGCTTCTCTTTGGGCGACCCTCCTCCCCCTCTCGCAACCCCCTGGCCGGCTGTGGCATGGCTGGGACGGTGTGCACGCGTGGGGAGACCCCCCTTAAACGAGCAGCCACCCACCCCTTGGCCGAGCCAAAGAGGGAAGGGGGAGAGAGAGAGGAAGATAGGGAGAGGGGGAGAGAGAAGGGGAAGAGAGATACAGAGAGAGGGGGAGAGAGAGACATAGAGCGAGAGAGAAGGATTTTGTGACTGGGTAGGTGTGGCTGGGTCATGTGAGTGGGTAGGAGTGAGTGACATCAAGTTGGCTACGCCCACCCAGGTTTTGTGGCTCCCAGTGGGTTTTTTTCTGTGGGAAACAGGCCCAAGTAGCTCTTTTGAGTATTTAAGGTTGCAGACCCCTGTACTAGACACAGATTTTAACTTAAATGTATTCCTCTTATTTTGAAGTGTACTATAACTTACTATGAAGCTATAAATGCTTATGCTTACTTTGCTAATTATATAATACACATGAACTAAAGAACAAAAAGACATTGTTAATGTTTTAGAGCCAATATGATACAGTTGGTAGATTTTACTTTAGCCACATATTTAATCCAAGAGATGAAACCTACCAACATTTTTCAGAATCAGGAAGTATGGCTCCCAACTGCATTCGTCTACGAGTGACATCTAGAGGGTATCTGGGGAAGTGAAAAAGCATTTTCTTTCATGGCAGTTACAAATATCACAATGCAACGTATTTGTACTACAAAATAACAATTAAAAGACATTTACACAATGAACATGTGGAAAATACAAAGCTGCCTTATATTGGGTCAGATTAGGAGCTGACTTCGTCAGAATTACCTTCTCTGGCTGGCAGCAGAAATTCTAGCATTTGTTTTTATTTATTTATTTTATAGCCATGCTAAAATATTTGGGACTGCATCTTTCTGCATGTTAGGAATATAATTCGCTGGAGAACAATGAAACAATGCCTTATGAGAAAAATGAATTTATTTCATTTTTATTAAGCATATATCTCACATTTCTTACCAAAAGCAGCGCTAAAGTAGCTATCATAATGGACAGAATACCAAACTGCAATTGAAAACAAATGAATTAGGAGAATTCATAAAATAAGAAATGCTAGGGCTTTTAGTGTAAGATTTTAGAAGAGGATATGTTCACTGTATTCAAAATAAATCATATGCTTTGGCTTATGTTTTATTTTGTGGCAGTTGCAGAATACATGAGGTTTAACATTGGAAAATCAATTACCAAGCTCCATACTTGAATTGCCAGGAATAATTTCTTCAGGCAGTATCACATGTTTTCATATGAAATGTTAAATAAAAATGGTAACAAAAATAAAAATAACTTTAACCCTCAAGAAATGTTATATAACAGTCTAAATCTTTTTTGTAAAAATTGCCCATCACACAAGAATGATCTAGTAGTAGTATTAATTCTGGATGGATGCCATCAACCCCCAAAATTGTATGAATTGTTTGAAGTAAACCCCAAAAGATGGCAATCCAAAAACCAGAAAGCATTTCTTTTCCTTTGATTTCAATAACAGTTAAAAAGACATGTTTTTTCACTGATATTAGCAGAACACTACTTAGATATTTGAAAGAATTATAAACATTTGCCCAGCTGCTAAGTGTAAATTGGATTGTTTAAATTTGAAAACCAAGAAAAAATGGAGGTTACATGCTAAAGCTGTATGAAAGAGAAGTAACTTGTTTTCAGCTATGCATGATCTTTTTTCTTAAATGTTTAATTCTAACCTATTTCTATTTCTGTTTAATCACATGCTTCAACAGGTGGTCAGAGCCACTCATAAATCTCATTTTTAAATTTATCTGTTTGTTGTCTTACAAAATAAGAAGTAAGTAGCCCCTGTCAGTTTTAGCAGAGAAAAAAGCCAAGGTATAACTGAGTTGGCACAATATGCACTATATATCTTCCTCCAGTACTTTCATGTAATTCAAACCATGTTAAATTATAATTATGATAAATATGTATTTTTTTACCCTAGCTTTCTAGTGTAACCACTAGCGTTCTGGTGGCATTCAAATGGTCTCTGCCAATTTAATACTTTGACAAATGCAACCCTATCCTGCATTGTAGTTGTATTAAGGCTACATTTTTTCAAACTGCATCTAGAGTAATAGTTTATATACACACAAACCTCCTATAAACTGACAAAGAAAACAGGAGATTGGGGGCTTTGTAACACATAAGCAAACTAATCCCTTCAACTGGTTTTAGAGAAATGGCCTCCTGGGCAGAGCCACAGCTCTTCTTCTCAGGATATTGCAGACAGAAACTGAAAATTTGTCTTGTCTTGGAGTTCTGCCAGTTGCCTGCTTTTTTAACCTGTACAGTGAGCTTTCTTTGCAGACGGAAAGTTAAATGATGTTATATTTCATGATTTATAAAGGTGGAAGGAAATAAAATTCCTAATACAAGCTATCCTAACATTTCTTCATTAAGTGCAGTAAAATACTAGAATAACTTACGATATTGTTTGTGCTATGGCTCCAGCTATGCCACCACACAGCAAATTTACATGAGTTTTCAAAACTAAGACATCAGGATTATCTAAGCAAGGCCTCCCGAGCAGGGTAGGCGCTTGAGCAAGTCCCACACTCTTTAAGGTACCAAAGGTAAAAAATGAGAAACCTGAAAGGAAAAAAATTATCTTTAATTGAAATATTACCTCAACAACAAACTGCATAGATACTATAGGCACAATTCAGCCAGAGAATGAGCTCATTTAAATCTACTAACAGTAGTGCATGTGCCAAACTCTGTTCCATTATATTATCTCTTACTTTTAAGTCCTAAATTTTAATTTGATCATCAAATATACCATAACATTGTCTCAATTTTTTCAAACTTCATTTTTATCGATCACTTACAGCTGACAGTCTTGATATATACCTGACATATTCTGGTATATGGGCAACAAAATTACTTGAATGTTATAGATTGTCAGAAAGACATAATAATCCTCACAAATGTATGCACTGTGCCTTATATTGGAAAGTTAACAAAATTTCCCTTTGAAAATAATCTTTTTAAAAAGATTCCTATGTTACACTAATTCTCTTTCTTTACATAATATTGTCCTTGTGTTTACCATTATCTTGGACATTAAAGTCCTTACAATAAAGGAACTTCTGATCTACAGAGTACTAAAATATGGCTGCAATAAAAATAACTTTAAAAAAAAACAAAAACAATTTGAAATAGCATTTATGATTAAAACTAAAGAAACAGAATAGTCTAAGCAACAGTAAACCAAGAGGACTTAAGATGCTTACAGAAATACTGAAAGCATTACAACTTAGTGCTGAGCTATACCTTTAGGATTTAATTAGTGTAGATTACTAGCAAAGTTGAAAGAAGAACATATTTACATCCCTCAATCATAACGGGTTCAAAGTGCAATCCCAAACCAGAATTTCAACATTTAAACTAATTAAAACATATACAGAGATAGTGCTTAATTGAACATCAACATTTTGTTTATTAGATTTGGATTGTGACTTCTACTGCAACTGACAAAAAATCCATATAAGAACAACCCAAGCCATATACCAAGGAAATTATATTGTGTTGTGGAAATTCTGAAGATTGTGTGCACGTGCATTTAAAAAAAAGGAATATGAAGTCCTTCAAGAAAAGAAAAAGAAAAGAAAATGATATAGTTCCCAGCCAACAGTTTTCAGTCTATCCTTTAGATTAGACAGAATCTTCCCCATTAGTGGAGGGAGAAAGAAGACAAGGAAACATAAATCACAGTCAAAGTTAAATAATTTTTGACCAAAGATTGACACCATATATCAGAATAGCATACTGAGGCAGACAGAGATAAGGCCTATAAATATCTAGAATCATGGATCTCAAAAAGCAAACAACACGTGTCACAACTTTATCACCTAAATGCTGTGATTTACTTATTTATGCAGATGTTGGGACATAAATATATAAACGAGGCAACTGCAATGATGACACCACAGAGATCGCCATTGTAACATAACAGTATACTGCAGAAACTACTGTCTTCAGTAAGGATAAATGTCAACAGTATTGCTAAAAATCAAAGATAAGCATGTAGTTATTTTAAATGTCATTTTTATTTTGATGTTTTAAAATACAGACATCTGCAATTAGAGTCAACAATAGAAAATGTTTTAGTAGATGACTTTACATTTATGGAACTGCCTGAATTGAGAGCACGTCCAACAAATTTAAAAATATTGGAAAAGACAACAGAAAGGTAAATCATCATGCGCTATGACCAAACTTCATTTTCTAGTAGTTCCTTCCTTGAATTGTTCATGTGAAAAATGTATTTTTTATTTTAAAGGAAGCAAAGAGTTTTCAAATCAAGATTAAACCTAAAAAGGCTCAGCAAAAAACAATCATGTTCAAGTTGTACTCACCCGCATATGGAGCCATTCCGACTATTGTTGGCATAAGTCCACGATAAAATCCTTGCATACCACCTTCCTTTGGCAAAAGCCAATAACAGTAAGAAAACAGAAAAATAAATAAATTTAGGAGAATTATACATATGAATACAGGAAAGTTTTGAGAGGAAAGATCTAATTTTCATTTTTTTCATATACTATGTTCCAGGACTACGCCAATTATTTGAAAGAGATATCCTACAATGCAGCTTGAATCACTAAAGCAGTCAAAACTTTTTTCACAACTGCCTTTGGCTGTCTGCACATACATGTGCATGCACAGCCACTTCAAAGTAGCTGTGAAGGCACATGCAAGCACCAAAATGCCACTGAAATCAGAACCTGACCTGACCACAGAAGCAATAATAAACTGGGTACTCAATTTCTGGATTTTTCCATTCAAATGGCATGCATTGAATCTATCCTGTATCTTTCAACACAACTTATTAAGCTACCACATCAATCTTACTATCTCAGTACAAGTTTGCAAGATCGTGCTAAAATGAGAAACATATTCCTTTACTCTTGTCTACTTGTATTTATAGTACATATCAAAAGTTGGATAAATACAGTCTATCCATCCCTCCCCGCCCTGACATGTATGCATATATATGGTTACAACACTCCTCATTTTCACCCATCATGACCAATGTGCGCTGGAAGCTATGGACATCCAAGGACTCTGTTGGGAAGACCTGATTAAAAGCAGCCAATTCATATATTTTCACCAGAGCATTTCTGACTCAAAAGCATACCTTCATCAAAAATATTTCACCCCTCACTATACTAGAACTGATTTAATTCAGGTATCAGAAAATTTTGTCTATCCACAATCTGACAATAAAAAATAACACTATGATGTCTTCTACTTTCCATTTTTCTCTTTTCTAATATCTAGAGCACGTGGTGCCTAAATTAATATACTACACAGTCAACCTATAACTGGTTGTTCACAACTATTCCTGCCATCACACCCTCCCCAACTCATGTGGGCCTCTCATATCCCCCCCTATATCACCAACTCCCATGGTATCTCTTATTATCCAAAGCTATATAGGCAGAGACCTAATTTTTAAAAATAAGCATTAAGCAAAGTTTGGATCCCATAGATTGTGTTAGTAGTACCGGTACGTGTTTTTGAAGAAACTGGAAAAATCAAGCAATCTTTAATAATGAATCCCAGTGATAGTTCATCATTCATAATTTTAAGACTTACTAACTGCAACAGCATTAAGTATTTTGGGAAAAGAAACAAAGATTTTATTTCATTGCTAGTACCACAAATTGTTTTGGCTGAAAAATCCTATAATGGACACATTTATTCATACCTGATCAGCATTTTTACAAAGCATCACTTTTTCTGAGGGGCTGCCATTATTTAAACAAATGGATACTAGTTTGTCAAGAGTCCTTGGTCTACCCTTTTTTATAATTACCCTTTTTAACTAAGAGGACTTAGCAATACTGCTGTAGATTCCAATTTAAGAGAGGTACCCTATACAGTATATGAAAATAACAGTGCAGGAGAGAAGAATTTACCAAACTGGACAGTTGTATTCATTAGTTCAGGCTTTGCTTTGGGAGTCAATCCCACCCAGAGAAATGCACGCTCAAATTCCAAGTTGAAGAAAAGTTAAGCTGGTTGTCTTTCAGAGCAATGAAATTTTCACAATTGCATTCTTTGACTTGTTTTGCCATTTTCCAACTTATTTCTTTGTACTAGGTATTACTGCTCTATTTTGTAAATTCTGCAAATATCACAGATAATTTTAAGAACCCCTTTAGTTTGGTATAGTCAGTCACTGTTCTCCTTTCTTTAAAATTATGCACATTTCATCATAAAACACCAATTGGGATAGGAGAAACATTAAACAGAGGAGCAGCTTTATTATTCTTATTTGTTACCCTTATAAACATACACTGAGCTTGCAGATTCATTTTTCTTGCTCAGTTTTCAATTTTCTGCTGAGAACTGTTACAGAACATTAACTGGTTTTTGTAAAGCCATAATGCTGAAGAAAAGCAAAGACAATTACCTTGGTGTAAATGGTCGTGAATGCATGAATAATTCCCCTGTACTTATGATCCCCTTTTACTTGGAATGCCAGCCGTGCTCTCACCATATCAAGGGGGTATGTACAGATCACTGCTGTTATACCTTCCAAAAATTAATAATTTTAAAAAATCAGCATACAAACAAGTCAAAAAGGCTTTAGAAATTTGTTTTTTTTATTTCTATTTATTGTATGATGGAAGCAATACATTAAAATTAAGAGGACAGTCCACATGGATAATATGCCAAACCTTGAAGGATTAGGTGATTTAGATTGCTCACAAAATTACACTCCATGTTGCTCAAATCAGTAGACCTACAAAAGGATGGTAATTTTAAAAGTTTTCTTTCTTAAACATACTTTTTAAAAAAAAGCTAGCATAAAGGGAAATAGTGTTCAGTGTCTTTTTTCTGTTTTGCATTTGTAAAGCTTAAATTCTTCTTAAAATGCCTTTAGAAAGTGATGGGGGATAAGGAACTTACATTTTAAATAATTGAAATTAAGCTTTCACCCCTCTGCTTCAACCTTTTTATTTCCTTAAAGGAAACTGAAAGGCAATTATCTACCAATGAAGCGTTACTACTCAGATTTGAATTACACAAGGCACAGGAAATCCAGAGTTGAAAGTTCACACCATAAAGTTTTACCTTTGCCAATCTGAACAGCCGCATTACAATAGACTTTTCAAGGCATTTTCCTCAGATAATTCTTAAACTCAGTGCCTTCCATTGCCTATGTTTGGTCTTGCAAGCACTTACTGTAAAAAGCTAATTTCCAACATTTCCCAACTCTTTTAAAGTGCAAAATTACACTAGCACCACAAATCAAGTTAATCACAGAAGGTAGAAAGGTATTTCAATTGATTTTTCATTCTCCATACAACACTTGGTGCTCATTGGTTCTTATACTGTAGTTATAAATATGGAGACGTTCCACATATTTATTGGGTGGCATGATATTTACCATTTGTTCTAGATATATTTTATCATCACTTTATTAGGTCAACAATAGCTGCAGTAAACTTTCTTTTGCAATAGCTTCCATTTCTTCTCCCCTCTTGCTTTTTTTCTTATTTATTTTCCAATCCAGTCCATACACTTCAATAAGCTTAAGCACTGTAACTTTTCATAAAACTTTTCATAGCACAGAAAGTTTTGTGTTAAAATCTAACACAAAACTATTCTTTTGTGTTAGATTTTCACACGCCGTAAAAAAGTTACTATGGCCAACAACCACCCAAGTGTTCGCATCGCTTATCAATGACAAACTGAACTGTCCCATCTGCAGTCATAACCACAGGACCATGAGGGTTGTTAAGCAAGAACAGGTGGATGTCCCAGGCAAGGAGTGCAAGGGGGAGTGATGGGGTTCCAGGCAGGCACGACAGAGCTGGAGGGCAGAGGGGTAGAGTGGGGCACACATCCTATGGAGCATGGGCAGTTGAGAAGTGCTACAGAGTAGTCTTAGATCCCTGGATCTTGTGCTCCAAAACAAAGCCCCTTGAGAGAAAAGCAGTGGGAGAAACTTGCAGGAGTGACATGAAATCACCCCTATCAGCTTCGCAATGAATTTGCACGCGGGAACCTGACAGAAAAAGTTTGGTGTTCAGGTGACCAAGGGACATCCCAACCATCCTAAGCACCAGGTGGTTAATTGCAATCACATGACCACAGGTATGTGTGACAGCCAGAATTTTGAGGACTAGTCATAAGTTCCACTCATTCTATAGCATCCTAAGTTTGAAAGGTCAATGAATTAGCCATAACTTGAAAAATAACTGTTCCCCCTCCTAGCTGTAACAAATGGAAAGAAACCAGAAACTCTCAAGCCCCAGTATCAGTCTTCAAAATCTTTTACAATGGTTCCTTTACCTGTATTTTGTATTTTTTTTTAAACTTTTTATCTGATTAAAATTAATTTTAAGGCTGGGTTTTAACTACTTTAAAAAACCCACAATTGTAGAAATTATAGAAAAGGATACATATACACTAAGAGAAAAAGAGAATGAAAAAAAAGAGGAATACCTGCTAAGGATCCAGCCATTAACCGATGAATATGACTAGAAATGCCAAGCCTGTTCTTTATCACCTACAAAACACAATTACATTTAAAGTGTGGAAAAAACTCTTAACATACCAAAGATAAAAGTTCATTACTCCTCACCAAATGCCATAACAATTTTTTAAATACAGTAATCACACTACACCCAACTATCTTTGTGTTAGCTGCTGTTAGATTTTAGTGAAACGTGATGGTTATGTATACAATGTTAAGCAATAAATCATGATTACACATTAACAAACACAAACAAACCATATTATGGCTTAGTCTTAGAAACATCTGGAAATTATTATGAAATGGTAAGTTTCAAGACAAGTCGCTATTAAATGCATGACACATAAAAACATGACTGGAAATCAATCATATTGACTTTATTTAATGTCAATGAAAGTTAAATGCAGATGAAATAAAATTAGATTATCTGCTGTACCTCCTGATTTCTGGAATAATGACAATTAAAAATTCTGTGAGGGCCTCAACCCCAAAAGGTTGTTCTCTTTTGATACATAAATACAAGTCAAGAAACCATGACATATTTCAAGGCAGTAAAGGAGCTTGCTCTTGGGTTTTCTTCTTGAAAACAAAAGTACTATGGAAAGGATTCACCTTCTGTCCCTCCCCACTAAAAGTTGTGATGCTGGGCTAGGATGTCAATTGAAAACAAGGGATTCTGAAATATCCTACCACAGAATTAATGAAACAGAATTGGCCCACTGCCCGAGAACATCATTTTCTGTGAAGAATTATTCCTATCTAAATAAACCCATAATCATTGTTCCGCTATTCTTCCTTTGTTTTAATAGAGTTCTTGGTGGAACCTTTGGTAAACCACATAGAACCTACAAACACAAAAATAGGTATTTGCAAGTATTTAGATTAATAATAGAGTTTTTGAATCTTTTTTAGCAGCAAAAGCAATGCATTTTCCTTCCCACATGCATAAAGAATCTGTCAAAAAAAAAGGTTATGATAGAATCCTTTGTCAATTTTAAAGTTTGAAACTATTTCATAACACATACCAGTAGATGAAGCAACAAGACACAGGTTATTTACCTTTTTATATTGACCAAATGCTGTAAACTGAATTGCACCGTATGGAAAGATTCGAATCATCATTGCTCCGTTTCCTTTATAATATCCTAAGAAGCCTTCTTTCTTTGGTACAGCGCAAAGTGTAGAAATCACACCTGTCACATTACAGATCAGACTAACGTTACAATTTTTACCTCAGCATTTTACATTGCTCACTTATGAGAACTATTCTACAAATCTAGAAAACTCTGCTGTCAAAACTGGAAGTTCCTTGTATGTGACTATAGCACAAATACCTATAAACACTATATTTAAAATGAGAGAAAAACAGAAATTACCACATATTTCAAAAGTATTGCCATGTGGTATATATAGCCCAACTCTTGAATAATGTACATACAGAATGAATATTAAATACACAAAAATTACACAAAATGAACAAATTGGGTATTGTAGTAGAATCAGAAAGAATCTATAGCAGCCTAAATTTAATTGTAATGTGCTCATAAAATAACAAGACCTAAAATACATGTTGCTGTTTAGGGAAGGCAAACAAAGCTGCTTGGAAAAGTGTTTAATCATTAACTTACTCTTCACTTTACTCCAACCAATGTGCAGTGTTTATAAATGTTTAAAGCCCCTATTGGATTTCCTGTACATATATAGTAAAGGAAATTCAATAAAAGGGAATAGAAAGAGAAATGTAAAAAGTAAAAACAGGAGACCGACCAGCAACTAAAACACATAATTTTCAACAGTCACTCAAACAATACAATTGTGTTAAAAAAGGAATAATCTCAAATTCAGAAAACACATATTTTTAAAAAGTTACAAATAGCCAACAAGGACTTTGTTTAAACAAGCTTTAAACAGACCTTTATAATTTGTCATAATCTGACAAAAGTTACAATTTAAATAAACATGTTTCAATTGGATAAATATCACTTTGAATGTGTGAATTTAGGATATTAATTTAGAATTCTTGGAAAATATATTATCAAATGAAGGAAATACTTGTATAATGGTAAATGAAAAAAGCTATTTAAAGAGATAAGCAAACATCCCACCAGAAACTGCTAAAATACAATTCTTAGCTATTTTAGCCAGTGTTGCCAATGCTATCAGATAGTTGATGAGAATTGCCAGTTCAGCAACAACATTGGGGTGGTTCAACACCATGATTTTCCATGAATACTTTTGATTCTACTAGCACATGCATGTGGAGTTAGATCTCAACTTACAACCTTTTGTCAGGTAACCAAAGTTATATCATTGAAAAAAGTGACTTAGGACTGGTTTCCACACTTACGACTATTGTAGCATCCCCATAATCACATGATCAAAATTCGAGGAGTTGCCAACTGGCATGTATGTATGACAGCTCCATTGTCATGGGGTCATATGATCACATTAATAATCTTCTTCCATGCCAGCTTCTGACAAGTAGTTGAGGAAGCCAGATTCACTTAATAACTGCATGATTTACCCAACTGCAAAAAAGGTTGTAAAATGGGACACAACTCACTTAACTCTCTTGCTTGCAACATAAATTTTAGGCTCAATTGTGGTCATGTCAAGGACTACCTGTATTTTCAAAGGTTGACTACATAACATAAATCATGATATCCTTAGGAATTTTGTTTCTTGCCTTATCTTAATGTGATCTAGCAAAAATAGAAACAATACTGACTTGCTTCAATCTCAGCACATACATGCCATACGTGAAAAAATATTCTAAGTGCTCACTATTCGGGATCACTTAAAACAATTCAAAAGTGTTTTTTCCTTGCGTTTTTTCCATGGATACAATCAGGTATATTATCCAATGCTCTTCTCCCCTCTGATTTCTCTTACATTAATTTTGTGTTGATGCCATCATTATGTTATTTGTATTCACCGTTGGGTTTGCTCCAGTTACCCAAATCTCCCACCCTCGTAATTCATTGTTTTCAATATTTCTGTAAACCAGTGTGCTAGAAGTTCCAATCAAGACAGAATCATTTATGAGCTACCTTATCAACTGTTCAAAAAATTTCAGTGAAATTGAAGATTTCCTGAGCTGCCTGGAATCCAGAAGGATTCACCCTCCTCTGTAGATAGTTCAATTTTATTTGGTTTCTGCCCTAGCTGAAGGAAATATATTGCATCAGTCCAAAGCTCTGTTAGGCAGAATCCATGATAATTCTATCTCTTCTAGAACCGCAGACACAGATCACTCTGCTCTAAGACAAAAGCCAGATCAAGGATATGATCTGCCTCAAGGATAGGTTCTGAAATAATCTCCGTGAAGCTTTGGATGCCATGAAATCTTGATGCAGACCTTTAAAGTAGCTTCACCATTAATGTTGATATCCCTGAAGACAAAACTCCCACCTCAGAGACCATATTCATTAGCTCAGTCAGGGATTCTGTAGAACAGCAATACAATTAAATATACCAACAAAATCCCGTCTTACATAACTTGAAAAGAAAGATAATTTCCCAGATTATCCAGAGCCCGAATAGTAGTGGTCACACTCCCGATTTGGTGTTCTTGTCAGAGCAGTGTCTATGTGACCTGGAATTGGTAGACATCTCCTTGGTCCCCTTGTCATGGTCAGATCACAGTCTGGTGGCAATGAGTTTCTCAAAAGCTGCATCCCCCCGCAGGGAGGCAGGACCTATTAGATTGGTCTGCCCCCATCGACTAAAGGACCCAGGTAGGTTCCAGAAGGAGCTGGGGGTTATAACTACAGATCTATTATGCAGTCCAGCCGAGTTCGTAGTCACTGTTTGGAATAGGAAGGTGACTGAGGCTCTGGATAGGATTGTACCCTTGCAACCTCTCCTCACCCGTAGACCTCTCTGTGCCTCATGGTATACAGAGGAACTGACAGGGATGAAACGCATGAGATGTCTAGAGCGCCGCTGGCGGAAGACAGGAGATGAACTCGATCGAACACGGGTAAGAGCTGCTACTAAGGCCTACCGTATTTGCCGGCGTATAAGACGACTGGGCGTATAAGACGACCCCCCAACATTTCCACTCAAAATATAGAGTTTGTTATATACTCGCCGTATAAGACTACCCCCTCTTCCACACACCTTCCACTTTTGCACTTTTTTTTTTTTGACGCACTTTTCTGCTTTGGACAATTTTGAAATGAGCTAATCCAATTTTGAACCAAGAATATGCAAATAGCTATGGAGTTTAGAAATGAGTTTTAAAAATATTTTTCATTGCTTACCATTAAGCGTAAAATATGTTGTAAATAAAATGAGAACACAGGAAACGTTCTCTTCTCAATACAGCTGATCTCTCTCTCTCTCTCTCTCTCTCTCTCTCTCACACACACACACACACACACACACACACACCAAAAACCCGGACACTGAAAAGGCTGCCAAGGAACAGTATATTCAATGCCTTCTCTTTAATCAAGAAACAAGGAATTCCTTAGAATCTTTTTTTTTCCCCAAGTGGCCCTCTTTAAAAAAAAAAAATGGAGGTAACACTTTCATTCAAAAAGTCTTCCAGTATCTGGAGTCGCTCAGACATATTGAAGTGAGGCAGGAGAGTAAGTGAAATTTGAAATGATCCAGCTACCGTTTTCTTCCCCTCCCGCCCGAAGGCCATTATCTCCACGTCAAAACGAACGAGGGGAGGCAAAGAAGCCAAACACGCTAAAAAGGATCTCTTTATTTTCCTACACAAGGTCACACCTACTTTTCCGCATTCAAAGGACAACCTCTCCTCACCACCACCACACACACACCCCAATACCCGCAAACAATGTTCTGGGCATTAATCACCATTGCTACATTAACCTGGTAAATTTATACCCTGCCTCCCCCAGTGTTGCTTTGACGGCAGGATTTCACACAGCGGGGCGCTCGCTCGCTCTCTTCTCCGCTCTCCCACCGTTCGCACATGTTGGAAGCACCGTAAAACCTGATAACCCACCCGGGGGCTCCCCCATCCTTAACCTACAGCCGCCCGCATGCAAAACCTGCGTGCAAAAAGAAAAAAAGAAAAAGAAAAGTATGCCGCACGTGAGGATCTTCGAATCCTCTCCTCCCCACACCGCTAAGGAAGGAAGAGGGGGAAAGGTTGCGCAGCGCGTGGCGAGTGACACCCACCACACACACACACACACACACACACACACCGCTCCCCCCCCCAGCCTCCCTCCCGGCTGCAACTCAAGCTCGAAGTGGGAGTCGGAGTCCTCCCGGCGTATAAGACGACCCCCCCACTTGGAGGCATGTTTTTCAGGGCAAAAAAGTCGTCTTATACGCCGGCAAATACGGTACCTTGTGGCAATTCGTGAGGCGAAGTGTAAATAATTCTCCACACTAATTGCGTCTGCAGATAATCGCCCAGCGACCCTCTTTAAAGTGAGTCGTCTCCTCTTAGGGAAGGAGGAAAGGTCCACCTGAAGGGGTGCGCTGAGGAATTTGCGGATTTTCTGGAAGACAAAATCGCTCAACTTCGTTCCCAGTTAGATGCCGGCATGGTTGCTGATCCAGTGGAAACTTCTGTGGCAGGTTCTTGCCCTGTTATCTAGGAACGGTTTGACCCTGTTGCTCCTGAGGAAGTGGACAGGATCCTAGGGAGTATGCGCATGAGCACCTGTATTTTAGATCCATGTCCCTCCTAGCTTGTGAAAGCTTCCCAGGAGGTGACAGGTGGGTGGACTCTGGAGGTGATTAATGCTTCTCTACAGGAGGGGACGGTGCTCCAGCACTTTAAGGAGGCTGTGGTCCGCCCTCTTCTTAAGAAGCCATCGCTGGACTCCACCCGGTTGGATAATTTCCGACCTGTCTCCAATCTTCCCTTTTTGGGGAAGGTTGTTGAGAAGGTGGTCGCGCAGCAGCTCCAGAGGTTTCTGGATGAAACGGATTATCTCAACCCCTACCAATCAGGATTCAGGCCTGGATATGGACGGAAATGGCATTGGTCATACTTTTGGATGATCTCTGGAGGGAGCAGGATGGGGGTAGTGCATCCAACTTTGCTCTACTTGACCTCTTGGCAGCTTTTGATACCATTGACCATGATATTCTCCTGGGACAGCTTCAGGGGATGGGAGTGGGAGGCCTTGTGCTGTCTTGGTTCACTTCCTTCCTCTGCGGCCGCTCTCAGTCAGTGTTGATAGGAGGTGAGAGATCCAACCCTCGCCCATTGCTTTACGGGGTTCCGCAGGGCTCGGTACTCTCTCCGCTCCTGTTCAACATTTATATGAAACTGCTGGGTGAGATCATCCGTCCCCATGGACTGAGGTATCACCAATATGCTGATGATATTCAACTGTATATCTCGGTGCGTGGTGAGTTAAGAGTTGCTGTGTCCTCCCTCTCGCAATGCCTGGAGGTTGTTAGGTGCTGGATGGGGAGCAACGGGTTGAAACTAAACCCATGCAAGACCGAGTGGCTCTGGGTCTGGGGTTCGTGGGTTCAGGGAGAATTACCACTTTTAGTCTTAGATGGGGTGGCACTACCCCAAACAGACCCTGTGCGTAATCTGGGGGTTCTCCTGGACTCACGACTCTTGAAGAGCAGGTGGCGGTCGTGGCCAAGAGGGCCTTTGCGCAATTGCAGATTGTGCACCAGTTACGCCCTTTCCTGGATCAGCAGTCCCTACCCACAGTCACTCATGCCCTGATCACTTCCCGCCTTCATTATTGCAACGCGCTCTACATGGGGCCGCCCTTGAAGAGCATCCGGAAGCTCCAGTTGGTGCAAAATGCAGCAGCCCACATGGTTTTATGCAGACCCCGGTGTGCACATGTATCACCTCTCCTGCAGGAATTGCATTGGCTACCAATTTGCTTCCAGGTGCAATTCAAGGTGCTAGTTGTCACCTTTAAAGCCCTTCATGGCTTGGGTCTGGGTTATCTGAGGAAACATCTCTTGCCAGTGACATCTACCCGACCCATTAGAGCAAGGAGGCAGGGAATGCTGTGGATCCCACCCTTGAGGGAGATACACCTGGTGGGATCAAGAAGAAGGGCCTTCTTTGTGGTGGCTCCATCTCTCTAGAACATCATTCCCCCAGAGATTAGAATGGCCCCCTCATTAATACTATTCCGAAAGGCACTGAAGACCTGGTTTTATCAACAGACCTAGGGAACCCAGAGAGGGATGGAACCCATCAGATGGCTAGTGTGACCAGCTGTCGTTGGGATGGGGGGGGTGGAAGTTGGTTTTTTTGTTTTTGTTTTGTTTTCTCAAATTTTGTTCTATTGTACTTTACTAATTTATTTGATTCTTTTTGTTAGTTATTGTTTCTATTTTTATTTTTTGTTTTAAATATGATTTTACATTGTGTAAGTTGCCTTGAGTTGCCATGGGCGAATAGGCGGCAATATAAATCAAATAAATAAATAAATAATTTCCATATGGGCTACTGCAATAAGTTTGCACTAAACCCCTTGATGTATTGTTATTTTTAATTAAAGACCAACTTGGCATTCAACAGAAGTTTCATCAAAATTTTGATAATGCAAATAATCCAATTAAAAAGGTAGAATAGCAAGGACAAAATAAACATCTCACGTCCATGTTTTAGGAACATTTTGACTTAATCCTAATTTTAGAATGAATGTCTGATGTGATTTTATATTTACTGTTATTCCTGAGCTATTGTGAACAATAACAGCCTCATAATAAAGTACAGTTAGAAAAATAGTTGTAAAAGATTAAGTACACCTACAAATCATAATTGAATTAAAACAGATCCAAAGCATTAAAAGACTGAACACTATTGTTACGTGCTTTCTATTGTATGTGTTTGTTTTCACTATTTTGTATTATTTCAAAACTATTATGTATTCAAAGTTCCAACCAACATTTAAAAAATCATTTTTACTTATTCAAAAACCAGAGACAGAACTTAATCCTAATTCTTGTTCCAATATAGCTTTCAACTTAGAATTTAGCTTTAAAATATTAAAGGTCTAAACACATTAATAACTTCAATTGATATATTTGATTATTGCAATTACACAAGCAAATTGAAATCTATTTTCTTTACCAATTATAAAAATCACATATAATAAGCAATATTAGATCCCATAATATGAATTTTCTTACCTAGATGTTTATAATGCTGATTGTGAGCTTGCAACAAAATCTTTACTCGATCTAATGGTGCAATGGTTGACTTGGCACAACATCCAGCAACACCTTTCCAACAAGCAAAAATAGTACTATTTACTAACTGCTAGACATTTAGCAAGAATTATTTTTAAACTTTTATCTTTTCAAGGGTCATCCTGCAACAGATAAGCACTGCTTTCTCAATCAACAGTTATCTCTGCTAAAAAAAAAATACTCATGTTATCTCTCAATTTTTGATGAAAGAGAAGGTACACTGAGAAAAGAATGAAATCATTAAGAATCCCTCTGGTGTATCTAAAATCTAAAAGGACCTTTAACACACAATAGTTTTCTAAAGATGTCTATGGAGTTTCTCATTCATCCAGGCCATGGTTCTGGACAGAACAGATGAAGCTTCTTGGATGAGAAGTGAAACATTTACAGGAAAAAACCAAGGAATTCCAGTTGCCTTTTGAAACGCACCTTTGGGAAAGTTTTCTAAAGAAATATCAGAGGTTGACTCAATTAACAGTTGAGCAGCCTACAAATTTAATTAACTACCAGAAAATATGAGAATTTAGTATCTAACATCTTGTGTTTAATATTTAAGAGTTTCATTCAGGAAATCTCTAATTCAAGTTCACCTCAATCTAGTACATAAAGTAGTCATCTTTCACACCTGTTTTTAACTATTTATAGGAAGCAAATCTACAATGCTATTTAAAAAAATCAAAGCCAAGTTTTGCTAACATAGCTGTTAGAAGGGAAGCAGCAAGTGGGGGGACCTTTAGCAATCCTACAGTTTTAACTAGTTTTATAGCAAAAAAAAAATCCAGAGTTTACCTTCCTGCATTTGTGAAGCAAGTACACAAGTAGCCTAATAGGACTGTTATTACATGCATAGTTCTTTGGGAACACAGCCACACAGCATTGCTAAACATAGTAAATACTAAAACAGCTATTAGCTGAATCTGTCAGCTGTATAGAAACACTTGAGAATCAGTTCCTTAAAGACATAAAATCCTATAATTCATGAACTGGTATCACCTGACAGCCCTCCCTGAATTACAGTACTCAGGTTTCCATGTCCTACTCATTTTCTTTTGAAAAAATCGTATAAAGATGAATAATTTGTATTTTTGCTGATTTAGACAGGAAGCAATTACAGGAGCTGGAATGATTTCTAGGCTTTCATGTCTACCCTCATTTTTGTAATGAGATTTTGGAATTGCCTGTGCATCCCTTAAAAAAAAATATTGTGAACATATTGAGTATAGTGGTTGAGTATAGTAGTTAAGGTACTGGCTAAAAAACGGGGAATTGTAAGTTCTAGGCCTCCAATAGATATGAAAGACAGCTGAGTGTCTATGGGCCAGATTTTCTTTCTTGGCCAGGACTACCAGGCAGGGTTGCTGTTGCTGAAAAATAGAAGGCAGGACTATGTTCATCACCTTGAGTCATATATGAAAAAGGATAAGATATAAATATATAAAGTAATATGAGAAGGAAAGCTTTTATGGAACCCCTGTGTTTCAAACAACCATATAATACAGCAACAAAATTCTCTTTCTTGCAACATAGAATTATTTCTGGCTAAATCACAGTGCTGTACATTTTTTTTTCAAACATCAATGCCTGTCTTTTTACTTTACCCATTTCAGGTCTCCCCTCAAGTTTTAAAAATCAGTACAAATTATGTTAAGAAAGCCAATTTTATGCTTCTAGGCACTAGGCTGAAAAACGGGGAGATGGTAAATTCTGGTCCCACTTTGAGCACCAAGCCAGCTGGGCGACCTTGGGCAGCTCTCTCTCTCTCTCAGCCCAAGGAAACACGCAATGGCAAACCCCTTCTGAACAACCTTGCCAAGAAAACTGCAGAGCCTTGCCCATGAAGTGAACACTCTTGACTTGAAGATGGAAAAAAAAACCTAGATAAAAAAATTCATAATCCTCGTAGGACGCTTTTCAGCTTTCAATACTCCCCAGTAGGAATTATATTGATATGTTGTTAGCTATTACTAAACCAGGAGAAATGGACACCCCAACTTCACGGCCCGTGGTCCAAGAACCATCTGAAACCGTTTACAAGGCAATCCGGCTTTTACTTAGGTTGTTCATTCTTTCCCAGCAACTTTTCGCCGCTGACATTCTTCCCCATTTTTCGACCTAGGAAAAAGGCAGGCGGGAACGGGAAACACACTGGTAGGGTTTTTATATTTGGGGCGGGGAGGCAGAGCTGGAGTGCAAGGTGCCAATTCCAAACCCCATTTAGCCGAGGGAGGAAAGGGAAGATTCCTCTAGAGAGTAGCCCACGGAGCACTTCCTAAAAATAAGGGAAGTCAGTCCCAGCTAGCGGCCCTGAAATTTAGCCACGGTTTGATTTCGCTTTTAAATGAAGTTTTAAGAGCCTGAAGCCGCTTCTGAGCACTGGAGACTTCAAGGGCCAAGACAAAACCGAGGCCATCCCGTTTTGGCCGCGAAGAGGATGTGCCCTCCGAACCGCACCTGGCTCCCACCGCCGGCTTCTCCTCCGGACTCACCTCCGGCAACGAAGGAGCGCAGCCAGTAGAAATCTCGCTGGGTCGGAGACGAGGGCAACCGGGCGCCGGGTCCCGCGGCGGCGGCGGCTTCCGTGGCCATGAAGCCGACAGCTGGCTGGCCTTTCCGAACACCCAATATCAGGAGGCGGCAGCGGCGGCGGCAGGAGCAGCAGAGCAGGTTCAGCCCATGCTAGCGCCTGCAAATGAGGCCGGGCGGGCCGGGCCTCTCCGCCCAGCGAGCCCTAGAGGCGGAGCTACCGCCATGCTTCCTCGGCCCGCGGCGCCCGTTGATGACGTCATGGGCTGGCTGGGTCAGCGGCCAACCTTTAGTATTTGATTTGTCAATGGCTTACAAGATAATAGGTATAAGTAAAAACAGTTATGAATACATGGATACATATAAGAAAAATAAAAAAGAAACAATAGGACAGGGACGGTAGGCACGATGGTGCGCTTATGCACGCCCCCCTACAAGCCTCTTAGGAAAGGGGTGAGGTCAATAGTAAACAGTCTAAGGTTAAAGTTTTTGGGGTTTGGGGAAGAAGCCACAGAGTCAGGTAGAGTATTCCAGACATTGACCACTCTGTTGCTGAAGTCGTATTTTCTGCAATCAAGTTTGGTGCGGTTTACCTTGAGTTTGTATCTATTGTGTGCTCTTGTATTGTTATGATTGAACTTTTAATGAAGTGGCAACTGGAGGATGGTTGGATCCAATGGTTGGGATTCAAACTCAAGCTAGCGATCATGGCACGCCGCAGCTTTTTCAGCGCTATTACAGAAGTGGTTGGTGGCTGACTTCTTCCAAGAATTGTCCAACTTCCCAGTTAAGCTAGGACTTCCTTGTGGTCTCCCATCCAAGTATCAGACTGCTAGACTGTTCAGCTCTTGAGCCCAGTCGGAGACTGCCCCAATTGGAGGGTCAGGATGGATGGATGATTTCATTTTGTACAGCTGCCCACTCGGATCCAACTCCAGGCGGGTCACCAGAGTTAAAGACAACCTGATAGTTAAAAACAGGAATAAAACAGTTGTGCTGGGGGAAGGAAACTGTTCATCATTTAGGCAAAACCCAATTTTAATGGGTGCTTCTTATCATCCTATCCCAGGTCTTCAAGATACTCTGACAATCAGGCTGATTCAGGGTTGTGTGGTTCTCTGGGGAGAGGACAGTTGTTCCAGATGGAACTGGGAAGGGAAGGATGGGTTGCCTGGTTCTACTCAGTGGGCTTCAATCCTGCATAAGCAAGGATTCGCCATTTTAATCAGCATCTGTAGAGCAGACTCCCACTCTTCCTACCAAAACCAGCCTCAAGTATGCCTCTTACAAGCCCCACCCCTTTGATTGTGACATCACAACTTCTCCAAAAGGGGCAATTTGTAGCACAAGGCTGCATTCATCACTTTGATAAACCCAGCAGCAGCTGAATACACCTCAATCAGTAGGAATAATTCCAAGTTTTTTACTTAAATGGGCTAATTTACAGAACATCCCCAAATCCAAAAGCCATTACTCCTGAGGGACGGGAATAAAATTTGGGAAAGTTGTGATTGCTTCAGTGCTGCTGGCTGTTGCTGAGCTGCTACTGTGATCCTGCACATGATACAATAGTTTCCCAGCAGGTCTTCCAGTCTCTTACTCCCTCCCCTACTACTTACCTGCCTGCTGGAGAGGGAAAGGAAGGAAGGTTTCCAATTCTCCCTCTAGATTCTGATAAGGAAACTCAGTGCAGAGGCACTTGGGAAATTGTAAATTATTCCTGCTCCCACTGCTTTTTTCCCCACCCTTGGTCATTCTATTTGTCTGTTTAGTTAAGAAAATATCTCTGAAATGACAAATAAGACACAGGTTGTCTAATCCTCTACCAAATGTATTAGCTTGTTTCCAGTGAAATGAAAATCCCTCAATAATAATTTGTCTGAAGCCTTTGGAACTATCCATTAGTTTTCCTCTTAATTTTAACAAGAATAATTCCTATTTATGCTTCTTTGTGTCTTTTGCGTATGGGTTTTTATGATGGTCTTTTCTTCACATTCCAAATGGAGAGGAAGGGCTTGCTTTTTAGAAGGAGCATTAATTCTGTAGCTTCTCACATCTTCACTTTCTTGGCTCTCTTGGCATTTCCATTGTCAGCTGTAGTGGCTAATATCTCTGTAAACTTTGTATTGACAGCCGGGATCAGATGGACTAGATAGAAGATACTAGAGTAGACCAAGAATGGTGAATCTGGTGCTCATTGAATACAAGAGGGCTTTGGAAAGATTGGGAAAGGGCTCTTGAGTAATGACATCAAATATATTGTAAAGAGGAGTTGATATATATGTGTGTCAGAGAACTGAGGAAATGAAGGAAAGAAGTGAGGAGGAAGGTAGAGAAGAGTCAAAAAGGTTATAACACTGAAAGACAAGTCACTGAGCTAAGCATGCAGCAGCATAGCACAGTTGATTTTAACCATGGGCTTCTGAAGCTAGGACAACAGAGAGGGGAGCCTGCCCAGGGTTCTTCCTGCTGGTGCAGTCACAGGAGACTTCATAGCAAAAACAGCCTGAGCCTGATGTGGCAGAAGCTGAGATATCATGCCAGGTTTCTCCCAGCAGAATTCTGCCTGATGGACTGGTGAAGGGTCTGATACTTGCTGTCAAAGCACAATTGTACTAGATGAGGTGATGCCAGGAAGTTTCTGTAAGTGGGTGTGGCATAAAGGCATAGTGTCTTCTTCATTAGTCAGCAGCTGCCTGTTAGAATAGAATGAATCATAGAATGATAGAGTTGGAAGGGAGGTCATCTAGTCCAACCCCCTGCTCAAGCAGGAGACCTTTACAGAACAGAGTTGGAAGGTACTTTGGAGAGCATCTAATCCAACCTCCTGCCTAGACAGGAGAACCTGGCCTAGACCATTTCAGATAAATGGCTATCCAATCCTTATTTTTATTTTTTACCCTAATTACTTTATAGCAACTCAAGGTTCCCAACATGCCTAACCCTCCTCCCATTTTTCCCACAATAACAACCCTGCAAGGTGGGCAGGACTGAGAGGGAGGGGCTTGCCCAGATTCTTCCACTCCCCCAGCCTAAGGCAGGACTCAAACTCACAACCACTCAGCCCTTTTTCCCCACTCACTACACCGAGATGCCCAGTAGTGTCGGAAGTCTGAGGCAGTGGTGGTTGCAGAGCAGCAAAGCTTGCCCGGATGTATAACCAGCAAAACACCCCTAATTGCCCCCCTGCAGCTATCACCCAGTCTTCCACAAGTGGGGCAGCATTTATCACACTTTGTGGGGTGCTACAGATTGCTGTTTTAGCTGTACTGGCTGTTTTCTGTGTTGTTTTCCTACAAAGATAAGGATTTGAGACTCTTGACTAATGTATCTTTTCTTTTATGTATACTGAGATTATTTGCACCAAGACAAATTCCTTGTGTCCAATCACACTTGGCCAATAAAGAATTCTATCTATCTATCTATCTATCTATCTATCTATCTATCTATCTATCTATCTATCTATCTATCTATCTCAATTGCAGACCTTGAATCTAAACTAGAGCCTGGGATATTGCTGATGCCCCGTGGAATCAGAGTTGAGCAAACTTTAAACTCATTTCCAATTGTCAGATGCTGGCAACAGTAGGAAACTGTTAATATAAATGGCTTCAGGCATTTCAGGTGTGTTTGATTGCAGTTAGCTCTGAGCGGGGGAAAAATAAATCAGCCTCAGTGTGTGCTTCTTTTTAGCTAAGTGTTAGAGACAATTCACAACCCCTTTCACTTTACAGAAAAGGCAGATCTACAAACGATCTAAGCCCCAGAGCTCACTGTAACACATTGTCAAAAAGGCAACCTTATTTTGTGAAGCTTCTTCTCCGGTAACATTGAATTGTTAACTTGGGCATACAAAACCTTTGGCAGACTGCCAAACCCACACTGTATATCGGACATTAACACAATTGAGCAGGTTCAGAGGTATTTCTTGAGAAAAGTTCTCCACACTCCTCCACTCACAATAGAATTCCCTGTGCCTCCAGGCTTGAAATTTTGGGCTTGGACAATCTGGAATTGCGCCGCCTGCAGCCCGATCTAAGCATTGTACACAAAATTGTCTGCTAAAACATCTTGCCTGTCAACGACTTCTTCAGCTTCAACCACAATAATTACACCGGCAAACACCCGCTCCAAACTCATTGCAGAAAATACGACTTCAGCAACAGAGCGGTCAACGCATGAAACATCCTACCCAACTCTGTTACAGCTTCAACCTCTCACAGCTTCAACCTCAAACTGTCTACAGTGGACCTCACCACATTCTAAAGAGGTCCTTAAAGGGGTCGTGCATAAGCGCACCAGCGTGCCTACCATCCCTGTTTTACTGTCCCCATTTATCTGTACTTCCTTTGTCCATGTTTATGTTGATACCTATACTTGTTATCTTGTACATGTTTGACAAACAAAATAAAATAAATAAAAACTGCAAATAATAGTCGAAAAGTGCAATGCATATTTTATACCTTTGCAAAACGTTACTCTTAAGAGATCTATGATTTTTTCACTAGCAATGATAGAGTAGCTACGAGTGTTGATTAATAGGTAATGGAATTAAAAAAGGCTCTTATTAATATGTAAATTTGGATAAGTGCAGGGACAGCATGAGTTCAGCCTGAATAAAGCAGTAAAAACAGCCAGACCAGAACAAACCTTGATGCGAATGTTGGGGTCCTCCATGGTTGGGGGCAAAATCCATGGTTTGTAAGTCAATGAAGAGTTGACTGCTTTGTCAGTTAATTCAGCTTTAGAGTTGACCCTTTATCTACAGCCTTTGGGCTATAGAAACCCACTGGCTATGTCAATAGCTAGTAAGTTTCCAGCTGGAGTGAGGTCACCTACAAATGTTTTGGAAAAACTCAGCACTAAGAAAGTTACCCAGTGCTGGGTGGTATGTATTATAAAGGCCCTTGCACATATCAGCAGGCAAAAATGTGTGAAACAAAGCAACTCTCAGCAAATAAAAAGAAACTAATATGCTATATGTGGGGTTTTTATATATTCAGAATGTCAATATACCAGTAAATGGGAACAATCCATGACATATACCAGTGTATCTCAACTGGCCACTTTAAAGTCAGACTTCAATTTCCAGAATTCCCCAGCATTCTGGCTGGGGAATTTTGGGAGTAGAAGTTCACATACTTTAAAGCTGTCAGGGTCGAGAAACACTGATATAAAC